TGAGGCCATTGTTGCAGATTGTATTGCTTGTGTTTCCTTTATGGTTTTAGGTCTTAATGCCCAAGACTTTAATCCATTTTGAGTTAATTTTTGTGTATGGTGTGAAATGGTGATCTAGTTTCACTCTTTTGCATATGGCTATCCAGTTTTCCCAACACCACTTATCACTGTCTGTTCTTGACTTCTTTGTTACAGATTAACTATCCATACAAAAATGGGTGTATTTCTGGACTGTTCATTCTATCTCATTGGCCCACGTGTCTATTTTTATTCCAATACCATACTGTTCTAATTAAGCTTTGTAGATGGTTTGAAATTGGGGAGCATAGTATCTCCATTCTTCTCTTTTCTCAGAGAATAGCCATTGCTATGGCTATTCAGGGTCTTTTGTAATTTCACATGAATTTCAGTAATGTTTGTTCTATTTCCTTAAAGAATGTTATAGAAATTTTGAAAGAGATTACATTAATATGTATAATACTTTGGCTTACCAGAGGGGAGTTGGAACTCAAAAGTCAAAGGGGGCTCAATGGATTATGGTGGAGAGTTAGTGGTTCTTTGCTAGTGTGGTGACTTTATGTTGAGGAGGTATCAATCTGTACTCCTACAACATACAACTATGTCAGTTTTTTCAGAAAGAGTGTTTTTTTTTTTTAAAGATTTATTTATTTATGTACACAAGAGCTGGGGTACAGGCCAGAGATGTGGGGGGTGAGAGGAGTCACCAGAGACAGAGTGGGGAACAGAACAGGCAGACTGACTGAAATACACTGCTGAGGGGAGCAGCCAGTGAGACAGGAGAGGCCTGCTGTGCCATGTGGGTTGCTCCCTGGCAGGCTGGGGATCGAACTTGTGCTGCAGAGACTTCAGATTGCTTCATAGTGTGGTACTTAACCCCTTGCGCCACCAGGAAGGCCCCAGAAAGAGTATTTTTAATGAACTTCCATTATCCAAATAGATAAGGAAAACAAAAGAAAAATTAATGACATGTCATAAACTCTCCCTAAACATTACTGTACAGTTATCTAAAAACTGTGAATAAGTATTTGCCATTAAATTTAGATGTTGAAATGTTAACAAGGCATCAATTCTATTAGATAGGAGTTCTAAATATAGCCATCAGAGTGTAGGAATTGTAGGTTATGCAACAAAACACAGTGAAACTTGGATTCCCAAGCTTAAAAGAAGTGGGAAAGGAAATAAAAACATCACTCAAATAAAGGCTACTTATTGGAATCAGCAGAAAGGAGAAGAGAAGATACTTAACACACAGGCAGTGTTCTAGAATACTCTTTATAAAGTAGTGGGGTGGGGTGGGGAAAGACTAGAAAGTTAAAGGGAGAGTAGAAGAATTACAGAAAAAATGATAGACCTGGAAATCATATGTGAAAGATCCAACAGAATATCAAAGCTATAAATCATGCTGACCCTAAGAAAATAGCATAATTCTTATAAAATGAAACAATTTAAAGATACAATTTGAGAAAAGTTTATATCAATGGAAGTAGCTTCAGATACGTTATCTGAGAGAGCACATATAGCATGAACTAGGCTCAAAGCAATGAGTATAGAAACACACACTAGTAAAGTTTCTGGATATTAAAAAAAATTAAGAAAAAATTATTGGAGCTTCTAGTGAAAAATAGTAAATAAGATGAGCCACATAAAAGTGTATAGAAAGAGTAAGGGCTAGAACACAGAAAAGAAATGGTTTCAACAACCTAAGAAAGTATAAACTAAATTAATTGAAAATTTAGATGAAATGGATAATTTTCTAAAAATTAAAATTTACCAAATTTGACTAAAGCATAGAAACGTGAATAAACCTGTAACTATTAAAGAAATTTCAAGTCTCCTGCCCCAGACACCAAGTTAAGGCATTTTATGGTGTGTTTTAATAAACTTTTAAAGCCAAATATATGCAATTTTATATAAATCATTTGCGATACAAGTAAAAGAAGAAAATCTGACTGGCTCAATTTGTGAGTCCATATGTTGTTAATATCCAAACTAGGCAAGGACATTATAAACAGAAAAAACTACAGAACCATTTCTATATGAACATAAAAATAAAAATCCTAAATAAAATTTTACAAATTGAATTCATCATTGCATTAAAAATACACACACATCATCTTTAAGTAGTGTTTATTCCTACCCTGTAAAACTGTTTCAATATCAGAAAAATCTATCAATTGTATTATCACACAGGGAAGTCACACATGTAAGAAAAAGTAGTAATATTGACATATTTATTTATATATTTATCTAACAAATATTGATTTTTCACCTACTATGTGTTAGGCATTTCCCCATACAAAGGGGATAAAACAAAGAAATAAAGAGAAAAAGTCTGTGCCTCATGGGATTTTACATTCAAGTTGATGAATTAGAAAATAATCAAATAATCCAATAATTGAACTATATAACATCATGATGTAATAATTGTTATGAAGTAAAGCAAAATAGGATGATGAAATGACACATGTATTTTGAGCAGATATATGGATGAAGCAAGGAAGTGAGACAAACAAAAGTTTTAGTGAGATAGTGCATTAGGCAGAGAGAACTGTGACTATAAAAATAAGCATTTGTTTGGATCAAGGTTCAAGAAGGAACATTTAGGAATATGCTTGGCAGTTGCAAGGAGTAACAAGGTGGATGGAAGTGTTGAGCAAAAGATAGAACACAAGATTGGAGAGATTGTAGGAGGCAGATCATAGATGGTTTTGTATTCTAAAATAAGGACTTTGGATTTTATTCTAAAAAAGGTGATGGTAAAACCTTGGAGAATGTTCAGAAGAGGAATGACAGGCTCTGGTTTGTGTTTTAAATAACCACCTGGCTAACAAGTAGAGATTAATGTATATTAGGGAAAGCATGATAGATTTCAGAAAGAGTCAAAAGATTATTATTTAAGAGGACATGGTACTACCCCAGATAAATGACTTGTACTAAGGTAGTAACAGTGGTGAGGGTGATTAAATTTAGTCATGGACAAAATCTGGCAATAATTGTATTGATCAGAGTTTCCCAGAGAAACACTACCAGTAGATGGATGGGTGAGTGGATGGATGGATGGATAGATGGACAATAATGCAAGATTTGTTTGTGCAGTTTTAGAGACTGTCAAGTTTCAAGATCAGTAGTCACCGAGTTGATGAAGACCAGGATAGCTAATGATGCGGTTCTAGTCCAAGCCTGAAAACCTGAGAACCAGGAGAGCCAATGATATAGTTCAGGGCCACAGGCTGGCAGGCTAGATACCTAGAAAGAGGCCAGGTTTCAGTCTGAGTGTGAACACAGGGAAAAAACCCTGCTCCAACTCAAAGACAGTCAGGCAAGAGTTGTACAAATTTATTTTAATCAGGGTTCAGAGAATTTAGCAAACTTCTGGTGTGAAAAGCATGTTTCCATAGGAGAAGAAAAAGTCTTAACTGAGTAAAATTTTAAAATTTAATTACTATTTGACTGCATAATTGAGACTTCAAAAGCTTGTGGATGTTTAGCCTTCAACTGATTGGAAAAGGCCCACCCACATTAGGAAGAGCAATCTGTTTTACTTAATGTACTGACTGAAATATTAATCTCCTCCAGAAACCATATCACACATACCCAAATAAAGTTTTACCAAAATGTCTAGGCACTTCATGACCCAGGCAAATGTACACAAAAAAATGAGTATGGCAAAATAGGAATAGTACTTAAGAAAGAATATCTATAAAAAACATACAGATATTGTACTTAAGTGTGAGATTTTAAACGTGTTTCCATCAACAAGGCAAGAACATCACTATAACAACTTGTAGTAAACAACATATTGAAAGGTCTTATCCAATGTAATGTAAGAAAAAAAAAAGAGTAAGAGACTAAGATTTAAAAATGAAGCAGTAAAACTGCCCTTATTTGTAAACTATTTGTTTTGATTGATTTGAAACAAAGAAAATTTAAGAGCTTTTCAAGCTACTAGAATTAATTAAAAAAAGTTCCATAAGTTGACTGTACTCAAATAAAAATACTATAATCATTGTTCTACAAAACAATGTTCTACAAAAGTTCTACAAAACAAATGTTCTACAAAACAATGTTCTACAAAAGTTCTACAAAACAATATCCAGTTCAAAATTTAAATCGAAAATATATATACATAATACCTAGGAATAAGAATAGTACACAATGGTTAAGATCTTTATCAAGAAAATAAAATATATTTGAAGAAGAAAAATGATTTTAATACAGAGATGCACTATCATCCAAGAGTAATAAAGATGTCAGTGTCTCTCCAAAATACTTTATATAAATTTAATAAAATTCTAACCAAAATCAAAAAGATACTTTATGGAACTTGACAAGCAAATCCTAAAATTAATATGGAAGCACAAAAAAATCAAGAATAGCAAAGACAAATTTGAAGAAGAATAAGGTGAGAGAAGAGAGATTTATCTGACCAAATATATCAAGAATTTATGGAGCAATAGAAAGTGAGACCATGTGGTATTGGCGTAGGAAGAGTCAAAAAAATCCCCAGGGAACACACTGGAGAGCCCAGAAGCAGATACTTGCAGATATGGAAACTTGAAATATGACCAAGGTGGAACTACATGTCAATGAGGAAAGGCTGGACTGTTCAGTAAATGGTACTGGGACACTGGTGAACCATATGGAAAAAATAAAAAAAAAATTGGATCCCATTCTCACACCATATACAAAAATAAATTCCAGATGGATTAGCTATTTGACAGTTAAAAGCAGCTTGGGTAGAAAATATGGGATATCTGCATAGATACTGAGTTTTGGAAATTTTCTTAGACAAGATACAATAGGTAGAGCAAAAGATTGATATGTTTGATGACACTTTGGTGAAACTGAAAACCTCTTATGTTCAACAAAGACACAAAACAAAGTACAAAAATAAACCACAGTCTGTGAAAAGATAGCTATAGCTCCAAAATGGCAAAGAATTTATTTTTTTCCTTTTCTTTCTTTTTTTCTTTTCTTAGCTGGATGAAAGAATGAAGCAAGTGGCAGCAAAATTTAAATGGGACAGCACCCAGAGTCATGGTTATAGAGTAACTGTAGTTCTCATATACTGCCAGTAAGCATTGTATTAGTAGCACTAGTTTGGAGAGCAATTTTGAAATATCTGGTAAAGCCTATGTTTCTGTCCATTTTAACAATTCCACTGCTAGCATATAATTTGGAGAAAATTTTCCACATGTGAAAGGAAATGGGAATAATAATATTTATTGCAGCCTGATTTCTAATTAAAATAGAAATGTCATTTACTAGGAACGTAGATTCATAAATTGTGATATAATCATGTAACAGACTAGCATATTGCTCTAGATACATGTGTTAAGATGAACTATTGAAAATGTAGGTTAAAAAAATGCAAGTTGCTGAATATATATCATTTTCCATTTTTATGTAAACTGTAAAAACCAGTAAATATTACCACACTATGTAGTGTTATCTACATTGATGGACAAACGACTATTGAGTGAAGATAAACATTAAGCACGGGAGTTTTAAAACACAAAATCTGTGACTATCGTAGGAAGACACAGCTTGATCTCAAGACAATATTGAGATCAAGAAGGATTATGCCAATGACCTCAATGGTATCAAAGTTTCAAAAAAAAAAAAAAAAACAGAGCAAACTAGAGGGGAAGGGGTGGGGTGGGGAGCAAAGCTAGGGGGGGCCTAATGGACCGTGGTGGTGGGTTATGGGTGGTTTGGTGGTGGGTGTGGTGTGGCTACATGCACCTGAAAAGGTGTGATTCTATTCCCCTAAATCATATACAATATTGTAAACCTGTGTTAACTTCAATTTAAATTAAAAAAAAATTAGAGCAAGTGTTTGCACTTTGTTATGCTTTCAAAAAGCTGTGTGGTACCTGGGGTGCCAGGTGGTATTCATCTTTTTCTTTTCTCCAGAGAGGGCTCCTTACTTCCTACTACACTTTATTTTTTTTCATGAAAGATTTTTTTTTTTTTTTAATACAAGAACTGGGTACAGGCCACAGGCATGGAAGGGTGAGAGGATTCACCAAAGACAGAGTGGGGAACAGAACAGGCAGACTGACTGAAATACACTGCTGAGGGGAGCAGCGAGCACGACAGGAGAGGTCTGCCTCGCCATGTGGGAATCTCCCTGGCCAGCCAGGAATCAAACCCGTGCTGCAGAGGCTGCGGACAGCTTCACAGTGCCGCGCTCAACTCTCTGCGCCACTGGGGAGGCCCACTTCCTACTACAATTTATTAAATATAGTTTAATAAAAGCAATCACATCACAATGTGTAGGAAATGGGGCTGTCAAGTTTGCACACTACGTGGTAACAGGAAGCAGTATGTTCTCATCCCTATGCTCGGAATGTTCCAAAATATTTTAAAATATGTAATGAGGTATGTAGGGTAAAGAAAATATCAGGCTTTTCTGCCCTTCCGCCATCAGGATAGATGATGGATCCTTGTCCTGAATGCATGCCTGATGGTGGGCACCTGGAATAGGGTGTGGGCATAGGTAGATGGGATTCAGCTGAGCTAAGACTGTGCTTTTAAGGGCGGCGTCACGGGGGGACGCGAGCAGCCCCAGCCAGCAGCAGCAGAACCTGAAGGAGAAGCCGAAGCAGAAGCAGAGAACGCCGGAGAGCCCAGATAGAGTGAAGACTTGCTGGGGGCTGGGAGGTCTGCCAGCCTCCCAGTCCCCCAGCCAGCACCCCTGCCTGCCATATGCCTGGTGAACCCCAAATAAAAGACCTGCAAAACCACTGAGGACTCTGACTCCTCCTTTACCCAGTCTGCATGGGATCAGAAAACCTGCACTGTATCCAGTCCTGTCCCTTACAATTGGCGTATGTCGGCAAGATCCATGCAGACGGGTATTGGAGCCCTCCGAAGACCTGGAGGGACTAAGGAGAACAGACTTTGCCTGTGACGACGCTGGAGGCACCATGGCGGTATAGAAGATGGATACGTCCACGAGCTACAGGATGAGACCTGGCGTGAAGGAGATGCCCGAAAGGACCAGCCAACGACACCGGAAAGGACCAGCCAACGACACCAGATAGGACCAGCCAACGACACCGGAAAGGACCAGCCAACGACACCGGATAGGACCAGCCAACGACACCGGAAAGGACCAGCCAACGACACCGGATAGGACCAGCCAACGACACCGGAAAGGACCAGCCAATGACCCCTGAGGCAGCAGGCCATTGCTGAAGCAGGGAGAGGCCAATGGACTGATAGACTGATGAACTGATGATTTTGGACTGACAATCCCGCCAGAAGGCGGAGGACCTTAGCAGGTTATGTTTATTTTTTGGGAATCTGAGGGTGGCCAGTGGGCCTAGATGGCCAAAAGCAGCCTGTGCATGCCCAGCAGCCAGGTGGAGGAGAAAAGCCAACTAAGAAAGCAAAAGCTGGTACTGATGATAAGTTGAGAAGCCCTGAGTGGCTGTTAAGCAGCTTTAGTATGTTGAAGAACTGTGAGTCTCGTAAAATCACCTGTGGGTGATGCCCTGCTCATTCTTGAGCGAGGGTGAGGAGCTGAGGAACCTGTCCTTGGGGGACGGGTGGGGAACGTGGCTTGAGGTGGAGCCCAAGCCGAATGCAAAGTTTGGATCCCCAACCCATGTGCTTGTGCAGTGGGTTGGCTTGAGAGCAGGGGTCTGTGAGTCGCATGGGTGGCCATGAAGGCCGAGTGTTGGAGCGACTGCAGACAGAAACCCTGAGGGTTGGCGATTACCCCCAACAGAATAAAATTGCCAATCCCAGAGCTAGTGCATCCTGGGGGTGGATGCTGTGTGTGCCTTGTAGCTGAGACTACAGCCAGAGAAGGCCAGGAAGCCTGACGGCTCCTGGTGTGTTATAGCAGATGCCGTGTGTGATTTCCCCTCCCTCGTATGAGCAGTGCCTTCGGCAGCAGATTTGGTGGCTCATCTGCTGGTACCAATAATTGTCTTTTGCACTTGGTTGGTGCCCTGCCTGGACTTATTTGTGTTCTGTTGTATTTTGTTATGTTGTATTTTGTTATTTGATGTATTTGCTTTTGTGGGCCATGGCTGCATTGTTTGTTTGCTTAGAAAATTGTGTATATATGTATAGACTGTATGGCAGAAAACCCTGAGGGGGTGGACTGTAGGGTAAAGAAAATATCAGGCTTTTCTGCCCTTCCGCCATCAGGATAGATGATGGATCCTTGTCCTGAATGCATGCCTGATGGTGGGCACCTGGAATAGGGTGTGGGCATAGGTAGATGGGATTCAGCTGAGCTAAGACTGTGCTTTTAAGGGCGGCGTCACGGGGGGACGCGAGCAGCCCCAGCCAGCAGCAGCAGAACCTGAAGGAGAAGCCGAAGCAGAAGCAGAGAACGCCGGAGAGCCCAGATAGAGTGAAGACTTGCTGGGGGCTGGGAGGTCTGCCAGCCTCCCAGTCCCCCAGCCAGCACCCCTGCCTGCCATATGCCTGGTGAACCCCAAATAAAAGACCTGCAAAACCACTGAGGACTCTGACTCCTCCTTTACCCAGTCTGCATGGGATCAGAAAACCTGCACTGTATCCAGTCCTGTCCCTTACAAGGTAAAAAACAAAAAGAGCGAAATACCTAGAAGAATACATGACATCCTATTATTTTCTATTTTTATGCATTTTCAAGCATAACATACCTCTGCAAGAATAACCCCAAACTGATATTTGTATTGGGAGATGAGGATATGAGAGAGACACATTTACTATTCTTTTGTACTCATTGACTATATTATTTCTTTAAGAATGAAAAGAATATTTTAAAATTAAGTCTAAAAATCAGTTTTACTACATGCTTTCATTTTATACTCTTTCATCTGTCCTTGACCTAAAAGTCATTCCTTCTTAAAAATGAAAGTCATCTCTCTTTTTTCTCCACAATCTACTATATTTTGCCAATTTCATAAGTGATGGAAGTGTTTGAGTTGTATGTTCATCAATATTTGTGCAGTTATATAGTAAGTGGCATAGCTGTGACTTGAAATCAAGTTTTCTATCTCTTTCAGCTGTCAGCTTAATGTAGTGTGGATACATAGTGATACGCAGTGATAAACACCTGCAAAAAATACTGTTACAATGAGCTTTACTTCAATAAAAAAGTATATATCCACATATATGCATACTTGTGTAAACACACACACACACCCCATACCACCCTGAGATTTTTAAAGAATTAAGAGGTCTATTGGAAGGTTTTTGAAGCATACAAGACCATAGTCACACTTCTCAATGCAAATACCACAAACAATCTTTATGTTCTAGCCCCTGGCATTTTCCATAATTCCAATCTGGCATTTTGAAGTCCAGCACCATTTAATATCTGCCTTCTCGTCCTCAACATGTAAATAAATGAATTCTTCTCAAATGATTCTTTATATTTAGAATATAATTGTCTACTCTCCACCATATGTGTCTAGGGCAAATGTGAGAGTACTTTATGGAAGATGATTTGTCAGAAAATCAGAAATTCCAGCTCCCAAATTAAATATATTTTAATTAAAATGATAAATTAGAAGTACTCAAGTCATAATACAGTTTCCTATAAAGACTGTCTTTCTCTTTGCTGAGGATAAATACAGAAGGTGGGGTTTCTACATAAAGGACAATAGAGAAATTTCAGTCTGAAAAGGTATGAGCTAGACACATTTCCCCTTCCCTCAACTTCTTAAGACAAGCTACGGCTTTCATAAAGTACAAACTTAAACTGGAATTCACTGACTTGGTTCTTTTCTCCCTTGTTTACTGGGTGGCATTGACTTCAGAAGCTTTATTAAAACAGTTGTGTCAGATGCCTTGATGAGTTAATGCTCAACTGGGTTTTAAAGTCTTAATTCTTCATTCAAATAGTAATTAAACTCCAAAGCTTAACTCAGTTAAGACTTTTTTCTTCCATTCTTGTCAAGGCAGAGGGTTCCTAAACTTTCTAAGCCCTGATTAAAATATTTTTTACAAGCGCAATATTCAATCACCTGATATTATTTAGTTGTTTTGGGGCTGTTTTTTTTTGTTTG